CAAAACATACATACACACACAGACAGACATACTTAGTGAATTATATAGAGTAGGATTATGACACATTCTTCTTTTCAGTTTGCTCACAACTTATTTTTCCTTGTTAACACTTACTTCAAGAGTTCCCAACTTTTTTTTATATCTCCGTTCAACCTCACCGTAACAGTATTCGTGAGTAGAAGCACATTCTTAGGCAGCGTTCAGACTTGTAGCGCTACAGCGCCGCTTCGCAACGTACTGCTATTCCAACGTTAGGATGGTTAGAGTTGCTTACAGAGAAAAGTGGGGAGTTGCTGGAGTTTTTCTTGAGAAATTCACGGAAAGGTGAGACTGATACAGCTGTCTACTATCTGACGCCATCCTTGACAGTTACTTCATTAGTCACTATTTTCTGGTACTGCTTTTAGCGTAACAGTGTCCTTCTGTCCTATTAAGAGCATTTTCTGCAAAAAAAAACATCCAAAGAGTACTCGCGCACCTAAAAACATCATGGCTTGCCATCTGTACGTGGATGCCAAAAACTATTTCGTCATCTGAGTCAACGTGAGGCACCACTGCAAGGCATCAAGCAAAGCCTATCAACATCAATAGCAATCCGAACCAAATAATTAATGTCAAAAACGGAAAATAAAACCAATTATCACAGTCTCCTGTATCAAAAACTACATTAAAATGTGATAAAGTAGAAAACAGGAGCTGACTATCAGATAACATCATGGGAACAACAGAGAAAAAGGGTTGGATACAGAATGAATACAGAATCCAATGCCGCTTATGGATTAATTGGAGGCGATATCTGCTTTCTCGAATTCGCCCCCAATCTCTGCCTGGATCGCAGGAAAAAGATTTATACCGGTTTTCGAGGCATTCACAGCCCACAAAGCCTTGACAGTTTCTTGTACTTTTTTGGCCAGGAGCGTAAAAATGGCCTTATCTCCCACAACAGGCACGCGAACACTGTCTGGTCACCAATGCGTTAACACAAGGCAAACAAGAAGCTCCTTTATGCTTCTTCTGTCTCCGGTAAAAAAAACACGCGTGCGTGTTTTTAGGTGGCGCGAGTAGTCTTTGCGTGTCTTTTGCAGAAAATGCTCTTAATAGGACAGAAGGAGACTGTTACGCTAAAAGTAGTACCAGAAAAATAGTGACTAATGGAGCAACTGTCAAGGATGGCGTCAGATAGTTACAGCTGTGTCAGTCACACCTTTCCGTGAATTTCTCGAGAAAACTCCAGCAACCTTCCCACTTTTCTCTGTAAGCAACTCTAATCACGCTGTAGCGCGACGCTGTAGCGCTACAAGTCTGAACGCTGCCTTATCTGCTGACGAGTGACATCCTACTCTATATAATCCGCTAAGTATGTCTGTAAGTGGGGGTGTGTGTGTATGTTTGTGTGTGCGTCTGTCTGTGTGTCACGAAATTCATAGCGCAGGTCCCAATAATAGTGAGACATTGATTTCAAGAAGTGATGTAGGCGGTGTGATAGGAGCACTATTGGTGGGTGACAGGAAGTGATATCAGCTGATAGATACGATAAGAGGCGTTAAAAGGGGGAGGTCTCCATATTCATAACGCGGGTGACAGCAGCAGTGGGACGTTGGTTCCGAGCAGTGAAATAGGGGGTGGGACGAAAACATTATTGGTAGGTGACAGGATGTGATATTAGCTGATAAGATCTGATAATGGGCATTAGAAGGGAAGGACTACCAAATTCACAGTGCGGTTCACAGGAATAGTGGGTCGTTGGATCCGAGAGGTGATATAGGGTGTGTGACGGGAACATCATTGACGGACGACACAAAGTGATAACAGTTGATAAGATACAATAAGCAGCCTCGGAACGGAGAGGTCATCAAATCCTTATCGCAGGTTACAGCAACAGTGGGGACCTCAGATACGTGAGGTGATTTAGGGTGTGGGACGGGAACATATTTGGCGGTGACAGAAAGTGATAACTGTTGATAAGATACGATAAGCGGCTTCGGAAGGGAAGGGTCATCAAATTTGTAACGCAGGCTACAGCAACAGTGGGACCTCGGATCCGAGAGGCGATACAGGGTGATATGATAGTGATACGGGACGGGAGCGTTACTGGCGGGTACGGAAGTGATAGGAGCTAAAAGTGTAAGGTGACATGGGAAAAGCAGCTTCACCGCTCACAATAACGATGCGATCGATATGACTCAAGTGTCACGATCTCAATGATTCCAACAGAACTCATTCCTCGCTGCTTATTAGTAACGACATCATGTACGACCGCTAAGCTAGCTCTATTCCAAATGCATGGGGTTTGTTTACAGAGATGTTATGAACAGCATCAATTTAGTTAATCACGCTTACCACAATTATCTCCCATCAACAACCTTAGTGAGGGCCATTTAACGCGTTCCACTGCTGAATGCGAGAGTGCATTCCAAGCAAGACTCTCTAAGGCGACAGAATGCATGAATCACAGGCTGCTTCAGCCGCTAACCTAACAGGCTCCATTATTCCCGTGCAGGTTATGAACGTACCAGTCGGATCGCTGGCTAAGGCTGGCTCCCCTCCTTTGTGATGCGGGAGGGGGCGCTGCTGCTGCTTCTGCGTCTAGACGGAAGGAGCGCTGCTTTTCAGTTGTTGGCTGATGCAGGAGATTCCTTTGAATAGTGTGGTTGGTCAACGATCCGTAACTTAGCAGGTGGCATATCCGCATGGCCCGGCGAAGCTGGGCCATGTCACAGAAGGAGGAGCGCCCAGCGACAGGCGATCCGACTGGTTTCTCATAAATTACTGTCATATTGGAGTGACGGAGTTTCGAGAAGATGTACTGGAGGTTTTGTGTCTCCTTTGGGCATATCAAAGGAAATGCAACGTCGACATTCCCGTCACTCTTCTATGGCAGTGATTAATGAGAAATGTTACTTCTCAGCAAGGCCAGAATCTTAGTTGCTTTTCATAAATACAGTTAAGGGGCTGAATACAAGAAAAGTTTCACAGAGCAATTGCTGAGTTTCGAAGAATAATGTTTCGCTGAACTTTTCTAGTGATGAAATGACCTATTTCACGTATCCACTAGTGTAAGAAGTACAAGTTCTAAGTTCTACCAGGTTAAACAAATGAAAATGTGATGTTTCTATTTGTAGATGCAGAGCAGTGGGGAACACGGAGTGCTGTAGGAAGATGTAGAAAAACTGCCAGGAACTTCTGAGGGCAAACAAATGAGCTGTGTGCGAACCGAAAAGAAGACGTGTCATTATCCTATAATGGTCACGAAACTACTTCAGCTCTTCCAACATGGAAATCAAGTTTTTGAGGAACCAAACGAAACTTACCAGTAGATGAATAATAGTGTAGGTTCGCAGTGGAGGGTTCGGGGGAAGAAGTCGTAAATTAGCTCAAAAACACATGAGAGTGCGTAGTTACGTCATCAGTTCGCAATTCAGCAAGAATAAAGGTGATAAGTTGCTTGAACGAGTTGTCTGATCCAAGAGAACGGCTGCAGGGGCTCGGTGAAGGTAGCAATTACGGCCAGCAGCGTCCTAGAAACAATATGACTGCTGGCGGACACGCTATCAGACTGCCTCCTTTTATCACAACGCGATTGTGCGGCGCGGTCGCGTTACAGCGTCAGCGGAGCGCGCCAGTGGTCAGTGGAGGTATGCTCTAGGATAGACGGGGATTCTAGCGTGTTCTCCTCTATGTAAAAAAGAGACACTCGTTTTCTGTCCACCTATAAGTTGTGTGTGTACATTTAGCTAGGCCAACTAGGCAGACTCACCTCATACCTAGTTCCTCTTGAGGAGTGGTGCGAGGTGACTACGCTGAACTCTCCTTGTTAGGCTCACCCAAGCAACAGCAGCAAGAAAACCATTAAGTTCATTTCATAACAACGGTTGAAGGTACGAAATTATTTTATTTTTTCAATTTCGGTAGTGCTTTTCAAAAATGCATCAGCAAGCCTTATTTGTTGTGTTTGAAACCGATGCTTGATTCCGTCTGTATGGTGCTATGTACAAATACATCAGAGAAACAGTGGGTTGAGGCGTGTGGGAGCAATGGGTGCCTAATTAGGAGCTCGCATAGTCAAGTTGTCGAGCATTGAAGACTTGCATTGGTTACTAGGTGCTGCAAAGCAGTCGAAAAATCATAGTGCTCAGTCAGAGAAATCCTAGAACTGCTGAAGATCGGCTCAAGACCTCACAAATAGACCTTGCAACTTATGAGATTAAGGGCTGCGGTTTTCAGATGAGTCAGAAAGCAGCGTGTCAGACAGCTAGCATCCAAAAATCCTCGTTGTTCCGAATGTTTTCACATTAGGTTTTCTCAGTAGCCCAGATTCTCTAGCAAGTCACTCACGAATGTTTAGCGTAATTGGTATTTTCTCTCCTCAGTCACCATCAGCCTGGCGCGCTCCGTTGACGCCGTAACGCGACTGCGCCGCACAGTCGCGTTGTGATTTGCAAATAACATCGCTCGTGATTTTTACGCCTTTTACCTTGCGAGATGGGTTGGAGTTTACCGTATGTCCTCCCAATGAATAAACTGTGAAGAAGGAGAGCAGAATTATCCATGGGCACGAGCGCGGTCAGCAAAAAGGACATCAATTCCGATTAATGCCCGCCGCCCCAACAAAGAACAACTGAGCAGCCCTCCGTAGGAGGGCACCTAGCAAGTGGGCTATCCAAGTGGGCGGGCGTTAACTTTCAGCGGCCGTAGCTCGCTCTTCGCTCGCTCTGGAGTCGAATAGAGGGGGACAGTCTCTAGCTTGGAGGCTGTACTACTTGCATAAGGAAGGACGACCATGTACTACTTATACGCGGGGGCTATCTTTAAAGGCACGGGTCCAACAGAACGAGAACCTTACTTTTATGCACATATCCTCGTCATTTATTTCGCCATCGAACCCAGGAATCATGTTGACCTGAAACATTCTAGATCTCAGAGCGAATTCTCACGGGAATACTATTCATAAATTGTACTGCCAGTTGTGCATGAAAAAGTACGACACATACATGCTGTAATTACATTGAAACATTACGCCAAACGAAGTAAAGACACAACTTAGCAGCTGTTGCTATTTTCTTTGAGTGAATTTTGTCTCCCATGTCAAGAATAGCCTTTGAGTTGGGACCGATGAATACTGCACCAGCCTTCTCCAACTCAGCAGCAAACTTTGTATTCTCAGAAAGAAAACCATATCCAGGGTGAACCTATAATGACAAGATTTGAGTTGAGATTATTTACGGGAATCTTCTCCCAACCTATAACCAACAACTTACAGCCTGAGCGCCTGTCTGCTTCACAGCTTCCAAAATCCTGTCCGCACGAAGATATGATTCACTTGTAGGCGCTGGACCTACACAGACAGCCTCGTCTGCCAGTTTGACGTGGAGAGACCCTGAGTCCACATCAGAATGCACGGCCACAGTTCTGATGCCCATAGCGCGGGCGGTCTTGATTACTCGGCAGGCAATTTCACCTTGAAATGTTCGGAAAACATAATGTTCAAAAAATTGCAAAGAGAACATGTGTTGGAGAACGTTTACTGAAGTAGCGCAACACCCCTAGTCAAGCCTGAATTGTACAAAACGTTGTTGAAGTTTCCGACTAGAACGATTTCAAACGAACCCAACTGATTTTTCATCACCACTGTTGTGTTCGGTCAATAGTTGTCTAAGGCTACAAAGGCTCCACGATGTCTAAGGATGCGTTCATACCTCACTACGACGACGTCGACATAACCGACGTAAGCGATGTAACCGATGTAATCGGCGACAATCGAAGGGTGCGTACGTATCGAGCCGACGTAACCAACGGCGTTGTCGCCGTCGCGACGACATTGGCGTAGTACGGCGACGGCAACGTCGTCGGTTACGTCGGATGGTACGTATCTACTCTTTTGAAGGCAGCTGCCGAAAACGTCGGTTACGTTGGATCGATACATATCCACTTTTCGGAAGGTTGTCGCCGGTTACGTTGATTACGTCGTCGACAACGTTGTTGCAAGCTATGAACGCAGCCTAAAGCAGCATTCAAAGCTTGGAACAGCAATGATTTAATTGTTCAAACGGTACGACCCAATCAACCACTCGAGTGATACAGTTTGAGCCCACGTTCATGCTCCGCGACCGAATCGGGAACAATGCGATCCCAGCAAGGCGTGCCCCCCTAATAATCGTTGGGCGGCTACAAGTGTCAATCCAATCGCTTCTAATTGAAACTTCTGCTGCTTTTGGAAGCGGTTCAACGATTAAAGGTGGAGCACGTTAGAGTCACTGGGCGGTGTGAATGCCAGCGGCAGGTGTCCTGTATCGAAGGACTCGAATCGCGCCGAGAACAGCAAAAGAGGTTTCGCAAGAGGCGCCACACGTGAATCATTCGTAGCAGGACGTAATCGATTCAGCGTAGCATTGTTGCAATATCAAAGGGTTTCTGAGCTCCACTGTACTGAAAGTCTTCTGTTTGATTCATAAATGAAACTCTTCAAGTGGTTTCTTTCTTGACTACTTTTCGGGCCTTAGGCCCTTCTTCAGGTCTACAAAACATATATGTTCACATAGCTTACACCAACATCAATCCATCATTAGACATACACCGCAGAATATTCGAAGATGGAACCAATTATTTAACAACTGACCGACTTCCTACCGGAACCCGGTCAGTTGTTAAACTGTAGGCTGGAGCGAGTCGGGATGGAGTGGGTGGGGATTGCTGCAAGGTGGTTTGATTATGGACGAAAACCAGAGATACGCGACACTGACTTACCTCCCCAGCTGTCCTTTCCAATAGAAATGAGACAGCTAAATTGGCGAAGCAGTGGTAAGATGGTGATAGTTGATACCCTGCTATCCTTTCATTTTATAAATCAGTAACTTTGTGTGTCGGTTTGTAGGTTTGTATGTATGTGTGTAAATACGTTTGACTGTCCGTCCACAAATGCTTCACAGGTTTGAGTAAGCGGGTGGAGAAAACGAACTGGACGAGTGCTCGTGAGGGGGCAGGGTGGGGTGGAACTGAGGGGGAGCCCCTCCGCTCTCCTTCCTTCCCCTGCAGCCGGACCTGTGCATTGCAAGTGAAGGAAGTAGAGGGGAGGAGGTACGGTGAGGGGGGGGGGAGGCGTAGTGCACGCTTGAGTAGGATAATAGCAGGAGAGTAGGATACAACCGCTAGCAAAACTGCAAATTAATCCATAAAGGCAGCGTTCAGTCTTCGCGACGGCAGCGCATCGATCGCGCCGAGCGCGATCCATCGGTCATTCCGTTGCCATTATGAAGTGCGCCTACCAAGCCAGCTAAAGGGAAGGAGGAGAGCACGGCGTTAGCCGGGCGATCCGACTGGTTTGTCATACGTCACGTATCACCAGTGATGTCACATCATGATGCAGCAATGATCTCCATTGTCCTTCTTTGCTCCTCCCTGTTGCTGATCGGTTGGTTCCCTGTTCGAATTACCAGCGCTTCCTTCCCCTCCACCAGGTCACATATGTTCCTGTGGATTACGCGCACTTGAGTTCATGTGCACGTTCGTTCTTGTGGCGCGAGGAACGATGTCTCGAGAGGGGTTGTCTGGAGAGCTGGCAGGGTTTCGGAAAGCCCTTAGATGTTCATCATTTGTGGAGTGGTCGTCCAGTTTCGCCGATGTAGAACTCCGAGTATGACGCGCACTCGACCTCGTACACGGTGTTCATCAAAAGGCAGATCTTTCGTTCCTCCTGGCACTAGACACAGTTTTCGGGCCACGTCGGTCTTCGTACATTCGTGACACGCTTTTTATGCCACATGGAGAGTACATTCCTTCCGACAGCCGTTCATTTCCTTCCAATTGCTTCCTCATGCGGCGGTCCCACATATGCAATCACCTGGTTCTTGCAGCGCATGCTGTTAACGTTACTCAACTACGTGCCAGCTCATCTGAAGAACGCAGACCACTTCCCGAATAACCTACGAGCAACGACCCTTCCTACCGATTCCAAAACGTCCTATCAAAGCTTCGATGTGTCTGCGTCATACACAAACGTGGACACAAGGATTGCCATGGAAGCGTGCATAAATCTTCTACGACAATATCAGAACAGTCGTCAACTCTACGGACTGCCCATTAACGATATCGAAGAACTGCTGATGAATGTTGTGAAATTCGGTATGTTTCGTTTCCGTAGCAACATTTATATGCAAACGCGTGGCCGGTCGAATTGCAGCGCTTCTCCATTCCTACTCGTGGATCGTTTGGAAGGCGTTCGCTATCATCGGGATTGCTGTTCCAGCCGTCAGACGACATATTTCTCGTTGCGAAGTCCAGAAGAATCACGTCAAACCTTCTTGAGACTGAACTCAGGGCACTCAGCTATTCCACTGACTGTCGAGGACACGATGGTTCCTACCGTTCTTAAACACAAGAGTGAAACTGTCGGAAGAAAATGTACTTTCCATGTGGCATAAAAAGCCTACTTCGAAGAACATCCTAATCCACTCGAGAAGCTGCCACCCTCTTTTTATGAAGAGGTATATTGTTCAGAATGCCTTGACAATAGCTAGAAGGTTGACGTCCACAAATGTCTGTGGTAATGGATGCAGTGAAGCGTATACATCCCGAAAACGGCTATGGAAGCAGACGCGTAAATTGTTGGCGCCCATATCAGGCACCGGAGGCGTCCCACTGATAATTCCTTTTCTCTCGGACTCCTTTGCTAAGAATGTCAATGTGTTATAAGGGTGTCAGGGATGCCAATTCGCCTGATACTTCGACCGCCGCCAACACTACGTCATCTCCTTCCGTCGTCACGAATGTACGAAGACCGATGTGGCCCGAAAACTGTGTCTAATGCCAGGAGGAACGAAAGATCTGCCTTTTGATGAACACCGGGTACGAGGTAGAGTGTGCGTCATGCTCGGAATTCTACATCGGCGAAACTGGACGACCACTCTACAAATGATGAGCATCTAACGGCTTTCCGGAACCTTGCCAGCTATCCGGACAACTCCTCGAGACATCGTTCCTCGCGCCACACATACGAACGTGCACCTGAACTCAAGTGCGCGTAATCCACAGGAACATATGTGACCTGGTGGAAAAGGAAGCGCTGGAAATTTGAAGAAGGAACCCACCGATCAGCAACAGGGAAGAGCTAAGAAGGACAATGGAGATCATTGCTCATCATGATGTGGCATCATTGGTGATACGTGACATATGACAGCAGGGTATCAACTATTACCATCTTACCACTGCTTCGCCAATTCTCATTCCTATTGGAGAGGACAGCTGGGGAGGTAAGTGTCAATGTCGTGTATCTCTGGTTTTCGTCCATAATAAAACCACCTTGCAGCAATCCCGACCCACTCCATCCTGGACTTGCTCCAGCCCAGGCCCTCCTTCCGGTAGGAAGTCGGTCAGTTGTAAAATGATTGTTTCTCTCTTCGAATATTCTGCGGTGTATGTCTAATGGTGGATTGATGTTGGTGTAAGCTATGTGAACATATATGTTTTGTAGACCTGAGAAAAGTAGTCAAGAAAGAAAATACTTGAAGAGTTTCATTTATGAATCAAACAGAAGACTCATAGCACTGTTGCGTTGTGCCCAGTAAACTATCCAAAAATATTCTACCGTCGACGCGCGATGACGCGAATAGGGACTAGTGATATACGCCCGAACGCCGTGGTGTGTAGCCACGTTTTTATCAAAAGCAAGACTGGATAAAGGAGACAAAGCGATGTAGGTTGTAAGAGTTAAAAGGAAGAAGAAGGTCTACGTGCGGTAGAAGATGGAATCAACGAATAAGATATTGTAATAGCCATTAAAAAAAGTGCACATTGCGCAATAAAAAGCTCTCACCACACGGTCTTTCAACACGCCACACAACTGCTATAATTGAAATTTTATCATTTGAGCTTCCTGCTCAGTCACTCAGAAGCTGTTCATTAGCAACGAGCGTTTATTTTTGTATACAGACTTCTGTATTAGGTTTTCTGGGCACATTCAAACTTTTCGCACATGATGAGCGGCTTCTTCATCAATCACCAGTTCACGTCCCGGCGAAGATACAAATGAAGAGGTGCAAGCTGGCTAACATGTGCGGCATGCCTCGCATCAGAACCCAACTGATTCAATAGAGCCGATGGTTCAATTTCCCATAGAGCGCAACGCTTTGAATTTTTTAGCTTTTGCTTTCCTTCCGTTCATGAATGTTCGTGCATGAATATAGGTCCGATGACTGCCATTTATGGGCACATTTTAAATGGGGATACTCCATGATTCGGTGCTATTCAATTATTTCAAGTTTTGCATACCATGAAACACGACCGTAGTTGAAAGCTGATCTTTATAAGTAAGACGATGCCCGAATCACGAATATGGCACTCACTTCTAGCTGGTGCCATTTATTGCTAATATGGAGCCACTTGTTTCTTTCAATGAATGCGTTAGGTACACACATAGGGAAAAGTA